ACCAGGGGCACGGCGCTCCCCGCGCGCACAGCGTCTCGATCAGCACCTGCGAGACAGCGGGGTGAGCGGCCACGGGCACAGGCACGACAGCGCGGGGCTCCGGGCACGGCCCTGTGACACGAGCAGCGACCAGAGACCGGCTCCAGCACACACTGCCCTGGAGAAACGCGGGCAGCAGAACATTTCCAAGATGTTTCCAGGTCTTAAGAGACTTTCTTCCCGGGGGTAAAACGGGTCTCTCGCACCCCCGACACCCCAAACAGGCAGCCACTCACCGCAGTCTGCGCTGTGATGTGGGTACAGCCCACGATTTTAGCTCCAGCCAAAGGCTTCTCCCCTTGAGCGCGTTTCCTGAGTGAAATCAGAGCAGACATGTCTGCAAAAAGGAAGAGAGGGGTTTGAATGATGGCTTGGTCCAGAGAGGCCCCTCTCTGCCAGACCTGCTCTCCTTTCTGGGGTCTCCCAGGCTACGTCCAGCCCCACAGTTTTTGTTCTGGTAGTGACACAGCCAGGGAGAAAACTCCCGGGGAGAAAACTCCTCATCACTACCCCGGCAGGTCTGTCCAAAATGGGAGCAAAACACTAGTGTCATTTGTCACTTGACCATGGAACAAGAGAGGTCTGGGACCAGCACTGCCCAAAGAAGGCATCCGGTGTGCCCCAGCTAAGGACAGCCACCGGCCCTGCAGCCAGAACACCACCATGGAGAAGCACCGAAAGACGCAAACAGTGCTGCCACGTCTCAGAAGAGCTGCTCTAAACGCGCCTGGATTATCTTCCCCTTCTACAGCTTTGGCAGCCTCTGTGTAAAAGGAGCCCGAAAGCAAAGTTACCCAATCACCCCACTGGAAATAGTAACTCCGCTTCCCGCAAGCCCCAGGGGAGGGGTTGGGACTGTCAGCTTTCACGTCTCCGAAGGCGTCGCAAGATCCTTGCCCACTGAGGTTTCTCCTCCAAAGCCACCAGAACATTAAACCCTGCAAGAGCCCTGCTGTCGTTAGAAAATGCATGCCACGCATCCCTGACGTTTGCTGTCACGTCTAGCTCTTCCCCACATAGTCTGCTTCCCGCAAGCCCCAGGGGAGGGGTTGGGACTGTCAGCTTTCACGTCTCCGAAGGCGTCGCAAGATCCTTGCCCACTGAGGTTTCTCCTCCAAAGCCACCAGAACATTAAACCCTGCAAGAGCCCTGCTGTCGTTAGAAAATGCATGCCACGCATCCCTGACGTTTGCTGTCACGTCTAGCTCTTCCCCACATAGTCTGCTGATTCAAGGGGGAAAGGCAGCGCAGCCGAAGCTGTGGCAGGGGCCGTGGAATCGCCACGGCCCAGCTCTGGTCTCCAGAGAGCACGGCACCCGGCCGCGAGCCCCACGAGCCCCACGCCCCGCTTTTACCTTGTTCAGCGATCTCGATCTCCCGGCGCCCAAACTCTGCCTGCTTGATGTTCTTCACGCAGAAGTTGCTGCTGCCTTTGGAGTTGGTTTGTTGCTTCTCTCGCGGGGACACCTCGTCGTCAGAGCTGTCCGTGTAGGAGGCAGCTAAAGCCAGGAGAGCAATGCACGTTACCCCAGGACCTCCTACCCTTCAGGTTTCTGCTCCGTTTTGCTTCCCAGCTTTCACACACACACCCTCCTGGCTCAAACTACAAGTCTCATAAGGAAAACCAATGTCCAAGAGGAATTTTGCACACTTGCTCCCTGAAACAACCCAGAACTACCGGAGTTATCAACGGGTAATCAATGCCTGAGCTTCAGGAACCCCCAGAACGATCCCCTCCACGTCCGAGTACCACACAGCAGCACGGAGCATCCTGATGCGCGGTGTGAGCAGCGCATCCACAGCCCAGCGCCGGGTTTGGGAGAGGACCAGGCACAGGCAAGGAGCCCAGCACCTACCGGAGCTGTAGCTGTCGGTGGAAGACTGCGAGATGGAGCGGGACAAGGACCGACGGCCCGTCTTGGTTGGGAACTTGCTGAACTCCTGCATGTCATCTGCAAATTGGATTTGCTGGAAGTGCAAAGAAAGAGAAGTGCTAAATCAGCACGTGCTCCTGACGGCGCATCATCTTTCCGGGCTATAGGGGCCTGTGGCTCCCTTCAGTCCACCCTGACCGCTGTAGTCATAGAAATGAGCATCACCAAACGCATCAAGGAACAGATCTGTGGCTAAAAATGCCAAAAATTGAACCCCCTCCTTTGCCTGACCATTTCTGTCACCAGAAGGTTAAAGCAGATTTTACGCCTAACACCTGAAGATCAAAACCACAGCACCCAGCAAGGCTGGAAACATCCCCTTTATCCCACCTCCAGCTCTCTGAGGCTCCTCCAGGAAAGCCAAGTTGCTCGTACAACACAAATAGCGGGCAGCCCTCCTCACCAGCCCTGTGCTGGGAGAGCCCTCGCCCCAACCCCAACCGGTCCCGACCGATTTCTGCCCAAAAGCGCAGCAGCAAGAATGCTGGGGGGGTCCCAGCAGAAACTCAGACCCCTGCTGCTTCCAGGCTCTTCCCCAGGAGCAGAGCATCTCGCAGGTTAAAAACACGGCGCATCCTTCCAAAACCAACACTAAAAGCAGGGGGGGTGGGGGGAACTCAGCAAGAGAGAACATTTCAACAAAAAGTAGTTGATGTTGCACTGCCTTTCAGTCTCCTCTGCGTTAGAGATGTTTCCATTGTAAGAGAAGCCCTAAAACAGCCACCCCTCCTTCCCCTCTCGGCCAGAGGCAACCCAAGGCTCCGGCACCTACCACCAGCTCATCCAATTCAAGTGCTTTGGGCCAAAAGGAGGGGACAAATAGCCCCAAACTGCTCAGCTGTGGCACTCATCCCATGTGCCCAGCCAGCAAAAAGCCTTATTGCTGCTTCCACACGAGGAAGACAACGGAGATGAAAGGGAATTGGGAAAAGCGCCAGCGAACCCAGCCCGGCTGCCCCCCTCGCCGGCATGCCGCCACGCAGGAGACCCTGACAAAGAGCCCCGGCGCGGCCTCTTCCCTCTGATCGCGTTGCTGCAGGATTTCATTTTGCCACTTAACAGGGATGAGACGTCGTGGCAGGGAGTGGGATTAACAAAGCATCCCCACAGGCCCAGGAGACCTCGAGAAAAGTCCTGAAGAAATCAAGTTGATGGAAGGAGACAGGCCACAGTGGCCTCAAGGAGGGGTTTTCCATGCCACAGCCATCCCAAAAGCTCCCCAAAAGCTTTGATGCGGGAAATAGCCTTCAAGGGGAGAAGAATGAAACAATTTAGTTGAGGGGATCCATCCCAGAAAGGAGGAATCTGCGCAGGCTGGGGTGTCGGCAGCGCTAGCACGGCTGTAAAACGGAGCCACGGTTCCTGGCGAAACCCAGCTGATGGGCCAAAAGCAGCGTCGGTCTTCTGCTCAGGGGGGCAAACGGGGACATGAAACCCACCGCTCAGGCCAAGGGAGGACACGTGGGGTGATGTGGGGAGAGGGAGGTGATTCCGGCATCCTCTCCGGGAATGGACCGGCACCAGGTCAGGTCCATCGTCACACCCGGGCAGGCACCCCAGGCATTTCTGTGGGTGCTGCTGCTGCTGAAAGGTTTTTAGCCAGCCCCTCCGTACTGGACCTGTTACAGCCTGGTATCTGCGTCCCAGACCAGACTTCCCAGCAGACCCCCGTGCGATTCTGACACAAACTGCATCAGTTTGCATCAGTGGAAGGAATGGGAACGCTAAATGGAGTTTGCAGGTTTGGTTTTGCAACTGGTTTAGGTCATTTGGTGCAGAGGGAGGAACTGGAGGGCATCACAACCCACGGCGCTGCTGGGAGAGCTGGTACCGAGAGATAAGAGGTGCAGCAGCACTCTGTGTGCCCTGGGTGCCAAGAAGGCCAATGGGATCCTGGGGTGCACCAAGAGGAGTGTGGCCAGCAGGTCAAGGAGGTTCTCCTTCCCCTCTGCTCTGCCCTGGGGAGGCCCCCGCGCCCGGCACCGCCGGAGCCTCTCGCGCTTGCCTTCGACGGCGTCTGACGCTACCCGGGCTACCTCAGCCACGCAGCACCCGATTTGCTGGAGGCAGCGTGAACTTTAATGTACAAGGAGCCCTGAAAATTACAACGCAGAGGAAGTTCCAGCTGAACCCGAGGAAGAACTTCTTCCCTCTGAGGGTGACGGAGCCCTGGCCCAGGCTGCCCAGGGAGGCTGTGGAGTCTCCTTCTCTGGAGATATTCCAGCCCCGCCTGGCCGCGGTGCTGTGCAGCCTGCTCTGGGTGACCCTGCTTGGGCAGGGGGCTGGGCTGGGTGACCCACAGAGGGCCCTGCCAACCCCTGCCGTGCTGGGACTCTGTGATTCTAGCAAGAAACATCAGGCAGGTAACAGCAGTGTCCTCGGGGCCGGAGCTGGCAGGCACAGCGGTTTGCCAACCAAGGACTGGCATTGCTGGAAGCTGTTCAAGGTCTGTTGCGTGGATCAGTCCCCCCCGCACAGCCTGCGAAAGGCTTGTGCCACCTCCGTGCTGGGGTATTGCTGGTGGGCATTGCAGGGGGGTGGAAAAAGGATGAGCATTTTCCGAACAGCAAGATTTCCACCCCTTTGCACCCACCTCTGGCAACTCATCAAACCAGAGGGTGTAAACATGCCCCATAAAACAGCTGCTGGCATTAAACCAGCTTGAAATGTTAGCTGAGGAATTTTCTCCACCTCAGGGAAAGGTTTCCAGGCAAGAAGTGAACCCAGGAGGGAAAAAACAGATAACCCAGGCTTTGCTGCTCCAGCCCAGGGCGGGGTGGGTACCTGTCCTTGCTCACAGCATCCAGCACACGGGAGCCTGGGGCCAGGGCACATCCCCGCAGTGAAACGGACGGTCTGGAGGAGCCAAGCTCGTTTGGGATGTGATGGGACGGAGAGGGTGGGGATGAAGGGCTGCTGCGCTCCCCAGCTCCACACCGTGCCCACACCACCAGCACAACCGTGATCTACCGGACACCACCATCCCCTTCGGGGGACCGGTCGCGGGTTTGAGCCAGCTCCACGGCACGGTCCAATTTCTTAACAGAAACAGCAGTTCTAAAAATGCAGGGTTTGAATCCGGGGGGGGGGGAAATCACCGCTAAAGAAACCAGCTGCTGAATTACCCACAGTAATCCCCGCCGTGGCTTTACCAGAGCTCATCCGAACTCGGCAGCTTAGCAAAAATGAGGGAGTACGGCGGGGCCCACGGTCGGGCGCAGCGACCGAGCCGACTGGCGACGCGCGTGACTGTCGGCCGCGTTACCTTCCACGTGCCGGGCTCTCCAGCTGCATTAAGGCGACGGAGAGAATCTCGTAATCCCTCGGCTTGTCATGGGAATTTGAATGAACGACGTCCCTGGCCGGGGGCTGCGGGGAGAGGGGACGGGGATGGGGACCGTCCGGCTGCGGAGAGCGCGCTCACGAATCACATCCCCAACTTCATCCTGCTGGAAGCGGCTTTCCCAACCGGGTGGAGCACAAGGGTTTAAGAGCAAGGAAAATATTTCTTCATCCCAGCAATTCACGACCAAGGAGGCGAAACAACACAGCACCGCTTTCTCTGCACAGAAACGGAGCCGGGGTGCTTTCCAGCATCGCTACGCCCTTACCGGAGGAGACAGGGCCGGGGTCCTGACGGAGCCCTGGGCCAAACCAGCAGCTCCTCGCTTGGTAGAGTGGAGTTTTTTTTGGGAAAATGCCCTGTAGGAAAACACCAGGATCCGACGCCTCCTGCCAAGTTTTCACAAAGCAACGCTGAACGCTGCCGGCTCCCAGCAGCTCCTGCCAAGCCAGCAGGACTTCTTCCCCCCTTGCGAAATCTTGCGCGACCATGGCCATTCCCACGCAGCTCCGACCCTTCCCAAGGACGGCCGCTCCATTTCAGCTCCAGCCGTCCCTCCAGGCGCTGGGGCTGGCCGGGCAGGAGGGGCGGGAACATCGGCCTTGCCAGCACCGCATCCCAAACAGGATCAAACGAGGTGCTGGGGACCCCCGGGCTCTCCCAAGGCAAACACCGGCCACTTTGCTTGGCTGCGCTGTCCGGCACATCCCAAAGCCACCGTGAGGCTAAAAAAATCAGCTCTCCCTACGTGAGAAGGTACCTGCCCACACGTGGGCACATCGGCCGGGCAGTCCCAAACAGCCTGGTTTGTTTAATTATTGCAATATAGGAGGGCAAATGCATTCCAGATCTGGACTGCTCCCACCTAAACGAACCGGCAGCTCGTGACTGTTCACTCTGAGGGTGACGGAGCCCTGGCCCAGGCTGCCCAGGGAGGCTGTGGAGTCTCCTTCTCTGGAGATATTCCAGCCGTGCGGCGGTGCTGTGCAGCCTGCTCTGGGTGACCCTGCTTGGGCAGGGGGTTGGGCTGGGTGACCCACAGAGGGCCCTGCCAACCCCCAACATTCTGTGATTCTGTGGGTGTGCCATCCTCAGCAGTTTATCCTGCGTTTTTCCCCAGCAGTCAGGCTGGAGAGCAGCTTTTTGAGCTTACTGAGTACAAGAAGTTCTGCTCCGCCAGCCTCTGAGCTGCAGAGGACTTTGTAAATCCAGCTGGATTTATCTTAGGCACAGACGAGCCAGGCACGTCCCTCTCATGCAAGACAGCCCTATTTTCAATTTTAAAACCCTTTCCATCCCCAGAACAGCTCCAGAGAGAACACTCAAGCTCCTTCGTGGTGCTACGCATCCCCGACTGCATCCCGCACAGCCTCGGGGGACAGTGGCGGAGTGGGCTGCGGGAAGAGGAGGAGGAGGATTTGGAAAGCATCCACCACCCCACAGCCATCCCCGGGGCCGCACGCTGACCCCGTTCACCGAGGCGCAGGCTCCATGGAGGAAAGGACACGTGCCAGGGAGCAGCTCCAGGCTCCCATCTTACCACCACCAGGTTTTCCTTAGCAACTCTTTTTTTTTTTAATTTTAGTATTATTTTTCATTAGGGACAACGTGAGCGATGGCACCTCCCCAGCAGTGTAAAAAAATGTGCCCCCTTCCAGCCACTTCCGTCCTGGAGCAGCTGAACG